TTCTATGAAATACGAAACTGAATCGACAGTATAAAGATTAATCGTACTCGTTGGCAACACATTATCGTGAGCATACGATATATATGGTGCAGAAAAATTTAAGATTTTTTCAAAACTATACTGGTCCAACTTCACACTTTAAGGGTGAGAGAGATTTGGACCAAACCTTTGCCTTGTCGTGCCAGACTACTCGAACTTTGATCTTTCAAAATATTCGAACACCTCTATTTTTAAATATATAAAAGGGTTATTCTAGTGGTACATCACCACTTACACAAGAGTGTCCATAATGAACACCCGGCACATCCTCATTGGAGGAAGCGTCGACTCCACCAACCCTCCCTCCAATGAGGAGGTACCTGGTGTCCATTATGGACACCCCGATATAAGAGGTGATGTATTTCTAGCATCTCCCTATATAAAATTGGTCAAAACCCTTCCCAAGGTATACCTAAATTAATCGACTAGCTGCTGCAGGCATATAGGGCGGGACCAGACCTAGTTTGTGCATACAAAAATTAAATTATTGGTCAAGCATTGTTTGCAGAAAAAGGAACAGTGCACCCATATCCAGTGATGATATAGAAAACACCCATCAAACACGCCGTGAGAGTGATGAGTTTTCATCACCCAAATTTGGGTTTCAGGCCATTGCAACTGGACTCAAAACCAAATAAAACCTTATATATAATAATGCAATGATATGCTAGAATCTAGCCAATTTTTAATTAAGTAGATGCCTAGTGACTGCTAATTCCAATTTTATTATTATCTTAGATGCAATATATTACTAAGTCCCCATTGAGTCACATTTTCATTTTTATTCTCATTCTTCTACTCATTTTCAACGACACATTTAAGAACGACAAAAAAATTCGTTCAACCCAAAATTCGTGGGGCCCCGCCCCCAACAGGGAGGGGATTACCCGCCTAATCGAGTAAACGGGGCCGGACGAGGCGAGAGTCATTGCCCCAAAGCGGGTGCGGGGAACGAGTACGGGGAACATAGTCATCTCCCCACTACCCGTCCCGTTTAAAGTTAATTTTAAATTTAAATTTTTTATCAAACAAAAATAATAGATTTATCATATTTTTAAAGAGAACATAGGGCGTATTCGGTAGAGATTAAAATCGGATTAAAATTGAAAAATTAACCGTTATTATTGACTTTTATTAGATGAGTGAGACTCAATAATGACTCTATTTTCAATTTTAATTAGATTTTAATTTTTACCAAACAAGCAAATAAGTTGTTTCTAACAAATTGGTAAAAAAGTAATAATATTTATAAAGTAAAGACATAAAAAAAATAAAAGCAATAAATAAAAAAAATAAAAAATAAATAAATGGGCGTAGGGGACTTGCCCCGCCCCGCCTCTATCCCGCCCTGAACCCGTCCAGTCCCGTCCCGCTTTAAACGGGTATGAGAATGAGGTAAGGTAAAAAAAAAAAAAATACTCGATGGAATGGGGGTCGGAATGGCTGACCCTTCTCATACCAGCTCCGTTGCCATCTCTATACACATTCTTTAATAAAATAATATTTTACATCACATCAATAAATTTTTTTATATTCATCATCGCATCACAAAAAAATACATTCTTTCCAATTTAATTTGCATCAAACACACTCATCATTTTAGCCTCGGGTTCCCTCAAATACAAACAAGTTTAGGATATGATGAGTTATAATAGAGTATATTAATCTTTTAGGTTTTGACTTCTTAAAATAATGAGAAAAATTTGACCATTAATTCCAACTTATTATTCAATTAGCAAGTTGGTCAAAACTTTTAAAAAAGGGACATGTGGGTGGTCTCCAGCATTTCAATTTAGTTGCACAATCAATTTCTAAAGATTGATACCCTTGAAATCTCCATTAGAGTTTATTTGAAAAGTGTTTATAATTAATAAAAATAAATGATAAAAAAATTATATTATCTGTAAATTCTATAAAATATGTTGACGAATATATATAATGGACTTAATTTGTTCTTGATATATGGATCTTTGATGCATTATTCACGTCACAACGAGGTTGGTTGTGGGGTGGGGCAGTAGTGGTGGTCGACTAGTCGTGATTTGGTGGGGATTATGTGTTGGATTGCATGAGTGAGGTTGGTAAAGAAGATATCATTCTTTCATTCTTTTTAATTTTTCTTTGTAAATTGTAACTCTATTTGTAATTTTTTAAAAGAATTAGGGTTTCAGCTACAATTTTTCCTTTATTTTTTATTAAATCGTTTTCCTTTTTGTGTTTATTTAGAAAGATGGCGAATTTTTCATATTACATGGCTTTAACAATCAAAATGAATGAAATAACGATTTTTTTTTTTAAAGCTTGAGGGTTCTGATGTTAAAAATGGTCAAGGATATATTAATAACAACTTATAAAGATTGAGGACGAAAATGAAATTTCCCATCTTAAATCTTATCCGAGGTAAAAGAATAAAGTGTGTAGCTAGGTAGGGCCTCTATGAATTGAACAGAACAGCTGTGATGAGATAGCTTGATCCAGCTGGAATAAACCCACCCCTTACTTCACACGAGAATTTTGTGTTGTCACGCGTTATGACTTTGGATACTCTTTGCCAACTGGACTGTCCCTCCACCCGCTTCCCAATGATCACTTACTGTTCCACAACCCTACAGCCTGTCTATTTCTCTGCACTTTGTCCCTATTCCATCCTCCCAATTCAAATCTCAATTCATATAGCTGATGGGTGTTTTAGTAAATACACAAAGAACCAACTTCTGGTCCAAGGTACCTAAGCTGTAATGCTTTTTGTCCTTTAGTTTTAGGGTACCGTTGGATCCCCCACTTTCTCAGCCAACGACGCGCAAATGAATTGAATTTGAACCCGTTCGAGTTTGTATAAATACCTTCTTCCCCACATCCATTTCACCATCTCAAATCCCCAAAACAAACACACTTTCTCAGTGTCTCTTCAGTCTTCACAATGGCTTCTTTTACTGTTAAGCTTTTCGTTCTAATTTCTCTTTTCAATGTGTGTTTTGCTTCAAGAATGCTTACCTCTTTGGTCCAAAACCAGCAAAACCAGCTCTTGAAATACCACAAAGGCCCACTTCTCACTGGCAAGATTTCTGTAAATCTCATATGGTATGGCAAGTTCAAACCTTCCCAGAGAGCTATTGTAGCTGATTTCATTACCTCTCTGTCAGCTCCGACCACCGCCAAAAGCCAACCATCGGTTGCCAACTGGTGGAAGACCACCGAGAAATACTACCATTTGGTGAACTCTAAGAAATCCTCTACGCTCGCATTGTATTTGGGTAAACAAGTACTCGTGGAAAGTTACTCGTTCGGAAAATCGCTCACACAGAAACAAATTGTTCAGTTAGCATCAAAGGGCGAGCAGAAGAATGCTATTAACGTTGTTCTTACATCCTCGGACGTCACCGTTGATGGGTTCTGCTTGAACCGGTGTGGATCTCACGGTTCCAAAAGTACCCCTGTGAAAGGGAAGAATGACAAGTTTGCCTACATCTGGGTTGGCAACTCCGAAACTCAGTGTCCTGGATACTGTGCATGGCCATTCCATCAGCCCATTTATGGCCCACAAAGCCCACCATTAGTTGCGCCCAACAACGATGTGGGCCTGGATGGTATTGTTATCAACTTGGCTAGCCTTTTAGCTGGAACTGCAACCAACCCATTCGGAAATGGGTACTATCAAGGCCCATCTGGTGCACCATTGGAGGCTGCCTCTGCCTGCCCTGGAGTCTACGCTAAAGGGGCTTACCCGGGTTACGCTGGGGATTTATTGGTGGACCCTACTACTGGAGCTAGCTACAATGCGCATGGTGCTAATGGAAGGAAATACTTGCTTCCTGCACATATACTAGGAAGGTGAAGATTTACTTCCACTTTGGTATAATTATAAAAAGAGAGAGAGAGAGAGAGAGAGAGGATACTGTAATTCATTGATTCGTTTATTTTTTGCCTATGAAAGCAAATTTACTTGCTTTTTATTTTTCAAATGCATTTTGGAATTAGTCTATTGCTCTTCATTAATGAATTTGTTGCAAATAAATTAAAAACTCTACAAAATAAATAACATTGGGATTGAAAAAATTATTCCTTTTCAGAAGTGTTATTAATACATGGATAAATGTATAATTTATAAATAAATTGTGCGAAGTTATTTCAAGTCAACGTTACGAAAATATAATGGATGCCGAGCATCTCCTAAATTGTTTTGGATACGACAATGGATATACCTCGACTGATGATGAAAACATTATATACAGTCTTAGATAGTTTCTTTCAACAAAATGAAAAAAATATGCGAAATATGTCATATGCATTATCAAAATTAGAGAAGATGTCGAGTTTGTATCGAGAACAAACTCAATTTAGATGAGTAAATATTTCAACACTCACCAAAATTTGGGTTATTCACCAAATTTCAGAATGCTTCCTATTAGTGACTCAACTTTGGAGTGACAAACTTGATATAGATCAAATGTGTACAACTAGTTTAATCATTTCTAATATTCTTGCTGCGGAGGCAAAGTTGAGCAACAAGATGGATTTTCTACCGATTGGGATTTGAGATAAGGCCCATTTTGATATGGCAAGTTTTCCATGGAAAATGAATTTTTTTTTTGTCATTTTCCACTTTTTAGAGTGATTGACACGAAATATTTTCCAAGTAATTGGTTTTCCACATTTTCTTTCTTTTTGAGGTAAATCAATTCTCACCAAAGTGGTGAGAATTGGTTTTCTATGTATTTTTTTTTTTAAATTGGCAATAGAAACAAATTATATTTTTTTAATGGACAATTTTTATGAAAAATAAAGTCAAACGAACACTAAAAGATCCAAAATTTCAATATTTTTCAGATGATATATTATACAAATTAAACATAATTAATTGACAATTGTTAGTAAAACAACTTCTAGACAATTCAATTCCATAAAATTCATTTTCTTTTCACCCAAATTTCATTCTTGTAATCAAACGACTCCTAAAAGAAAAGTGGTGGAATATTTGTAGTATTTGGAGTGAGGAAATGGAGGGTTCTATTTGTTTCAAGCAAAAAAAGTTGATTAAAATTTAAGTTAAAAATCTTAATTTTAATCATACATTTTATGAGATTCACATTTCAATAACACTTTTCATCAACTTTTATCAAAATTTTTTAAAAAATTAAATTTTATCTAAACAAAACAAGAGAATAAATTCAATCTCAACTCTCACTTGTGAGATGGTAGAAAGTCACTCGGCTCACTAATTTCAATGTTACCCACGTTCAACCTTTTAAAGCACTGAGTCGTTTACAGGAATAGTAACGACTTCTTTCCTTTACCCCATTCTAAGTTGCTGTTAAATGGATGGATCTTATCAACGTCCATAAATGATAAATCGTAGATCGAACCGCTTAATCGAAAAAATTGGGTACTATCATATAGTTGCTGGCAAGGATCTTTCCTACTTACTATAAGTAGTTGCGTCTACTAGAAGATATTGGCATCAAAGATCCTTTGCCCGAAGCAGAATTAAAAAAAAGGACCAATAGAATGTGAGAGTTTTGTCAGCCTATTTTTCTGCGTGTGATCTGTCCGGATTAATCTTCCTTACAATCCCGATTCAACCTAGCACGAACAATACAAATGCCTTAGTCGACTCAAATCTTGCTACAGCTTTTTGGTGGCACCATGCAAATGTTAAAATGAGAGTGCCCATTGCTCCTTAGCCCTTTACCCCCTTACGTACCAGTAGATCGATCAGGCATTCACCATCTATTTTCACTGATCAAATCATTACGAAAAATCATTATTCAGTAAAAGAACGTTTTTGTGTGCTTCTAGACATGCTTAGACACGGTATTTAGGAACCATCTTCCCATTCCTTACGGCTAACCATCAACTAATATGTTAATTAATTGTAAGTTTGTTGTTTGACGGTAAAACTCAGGGGACAGCTTGAATGTACAACTGTACAGGTAAATTTAATGTATTATCAATTATGGTCTTGTAATTTTCACTGTCTATGTGCGCATACATGCAAAGTTGGTTCTGAAATATTCATAAGCAATTTTAATGTATGAATTTTCTAGAAGAAATTATCTGTGGAGCCCTTGAACTCTCTCAACCTCACACAAATAAATTGAAAGTTAATAAAATGTAAAGAACGAAGGAAACTGGAAGCGGGAAGAAGAGAGGGAAAATCTGTTTGCTTAATTTTTTTTTTTATAGAGCTGGAGTGTACCAGCAGGTATATATATACACATTGACTCCTCTAACAGAAAATGGTTAGAATGTACAAAGACTAATTTGCCCCTATTATTT